CTGTTTTCCACCTGGAATGGGGTCCAGATGTGTAGCAGAACGAGGGAGCGAGATCCCTGGCTGGGTTATGGGAGGCATGGAAGTAAGGAGGCAGGAATCGAGGAGGGGGGGGGGGGGAATGTTGGACCGACATAAAAGTTTGTCTGGATGCCATTAAGTACAATTTGATGTAATGTGCAGTTTGGGACGTGCCATTGAAAATGGAAACTGCACACCAGATGAGGGAGATTTGGGGGGCTGGTGCTCTGGAGCGGGGTGTTGTACTTGAGGCCTTCCTCAATGGGGCTGTATAAACATCTCTCTGTTTTGCCGCTGAGCAGGCGCCGCTCATCTCCTTCTGGTTTCCTTAAGTAGTCAGGCAGGCGTTCCCAGTCTGCTCCGGTGTACAGTATCACATGCAGGAATAATGTGGGGGGCCGCAGCTCGGGGTTCCATGTACACTGTGCCTTTTGTGAGAGGTTGGAGTGGTGGGTGTGGTGGCAAGACCCCATCCCTCGCGCTTGGACGTGGCACTGCGTGATGACCCGTCCCAGTCCACCTACTCGGCTACTGGCCGACCAGCTAAGCTATCGGGCTTTGAAAAGTTCAGAAAACTGAACTACCAATGCTTGTTGGGAATCTCTGTGCGTTTGCTTGTTGGGAATCTCTGTGTTTGCTTGTTGGGAATCTCTGTGTGTTTACTTGTAAGGTATCTCTGTGTTTGCTTGTAGGGTATCTGTCTGTTTGCTTGTTGGTCTCCGTCTGTTTGCGTATAGGGTATCTCTGTCTGTTTGTTTGTCATGTATCTGCTTGTAGGGTATCTCTGACTATCTGATTGTAGGGTATCTTTGTATGTTGGCTTGTCAGGTATCTCTGTTTGCTTTTCGGGTATCTGTGTATTTGATTGTAGGGTATCTGTGATTGGTTGTAGGGTATCTCCGTGTATTTGCAGGTTATCTGTGGGTATTTCTTGGTAGGGTATCTCTGTGTGTTTGTATGTAGGTTATCTGTGGGTATTTCCTTGTAGGGTATCTCTGTGTGTGTGTGTGTGTGTGTGTGTGTGTGTGTGTGTGTTTGTAGGTTATCTGTGGGTATTTCCTTGTAGGGTATCTGTGTGTGTGTGTGTGTTTGTAGGGTATCTGTGGGTATTTCCTTGTAGGGTATCTGTGTGTGTTTCCCTGTAGGGTATCTCTGTGTGTTTCCCTGTAGGGTATCTATGGGTGTTTGCATGTCCTCCCCATGTTTGCATGGGTCTCTTTCATGTCATCTCGTGCCAAAAAACATGCACGTAAGTGAACTGGTTTCTCGACATTGTCCTTAATCAGAGATTATGCATATGAATGTATGCCCTCTAACTCTCTGCCCATCTTGGGTGTCCCCTGCCCCATGGTCTCTGCTTCCTCATCATGACCCTGCACAGGATAAACACTCACGGAAAGCAGATAGATGGCTTCTCTTGGTTTCTTTCATCAACAAAAATACCCTTAATAATAAAGAATGGTATTAGATCTTGCACAGCACTTCACACCTGTACACCGTACCTCCCTGGCATACTAATGCGTGAAATGTATATTCGCGGCAAGGCCCTTTGTAGTGGGAAGGGGCGTGGGGAGAGAAGTGAGAAAGCAAATTGTTTCAATTACTCTGTATAACTTTGCTGTGCTAAGTTAGTGACATGATTTCATATGTTGAGCACGTGAGGAGTCCATGGTTACCATGCTGCATTGTCCCACAGTCTCTTTCTGAATGGAGCAGATGTACTTCCTTAAAATAACAATCGCGGTCTAACCGTGTTAAACAGAGACCTTTAGCCAGTATTGCTACAAATTGGGCGAAACTGGTGGACGAATAGCCTGGTGATAAAGGACTCTTGGGTGAACAGGCATTAAGAATGTCTATACGTGTGAGATTTTACAATAGATAATGGGGCTTTTTTCTGAAATTGTAAGACCATGTCTATATGCTTGGAGTTTAATTACTTTTCGTGAGCGGTAATGGATTCCACTTGAAGTAAAAAATAAAATTAACTGATGAAGATAATGCTTTATTTACCATCTGCACAAGTGTGTGTGTGTGTGTATATACACATATTTGCATATGTTTATATATGTATTTATACATACATGCTCACACAGATATACAGTTGAGAACTAAGCTTAATGGTATTGTTGCCTTAATGTCTCAATAAATTCATTTCTTTAGGAAGTCTTCAAATATCCTACATTGATGTTCTGCGTGTGAAAGCTGAGGGTTTAGCTAATGCTAACATAGTGGGCGGGTACATTTTTAGGAACGTGATTAATAGCAATCATTGTAGCTTGTTTGACCCTGCACAAGGAGTTAGTTGGGGTTAAATGCCTACCTCTGGCCCTTAGGGTGGTGACGAAGAATAAATATGGCAAAAGAAAGAGGCGGAAAGAGAGTTTGACTCCGTATGGAGCTCAAGTAAGTCCTGCTGCATTGCCTTTGACGCTCTGACTTGAAAGATGGAGATGGCCAAAGTCAGGTAAATTTGGGGGAATCATAAACCTTTGTGTTCAGTCATTCTTAGGTTTAGGTGTTGCATCCACAGTTTCTGCAGGCCGCTTTCATCTTGGTCATTTCTTACCTTATTAAGAGTCTACATCACTGGAAGGAACTCTGTCTAGGGCAGTGTTTCCCAATCCGGTCCTCCAGGATCCGTAACCAGTCTACATCACTGGAAGGAACTCTGTCTAGGGCAGTGTTTCCCAATCCGGTCCTCCAGGACCCGTAACCAGTATACATTTTTGCTCCCTTTGAGATCCCTGCCTTGGGGGGAAGCAAAATGCTGGACTGTCTGTGGGTCCCCAAAGACGAGATTGGGAAGTACTGGTCTAGGTACAAGGTGAACACACTTTGTCAACTTGGGTTTACATCTGTCTGAGCTGAACCAGGTGCTGTATCGTTATATGACATGTTGTCTTGCTCCAGAATATATTTAAGTCTACATTTTTAAAATACTGTTGCTACTACTGGTGCTTTTTCTCACGTGGTGGAATGCTACAATCTGGGTCAACAAAGTCACTTCTTATCTCTGAAAGCATTGTTGGCCAAGTCTCCCTCGCAAAGAAGATCCTGTAATCTCGATGGGATTTTCCTGATAAAATAAAGGCAAAAAGAAAAACCTCCATCGACAATAAATTGTGATTTAAGCGGATAAAGCATGCATAGACAGACGGCTTGCGCGTCTGTAAATTGCGTCAATGGGCAATGAGCCGTCCGGCGCATGTCCGTGAACCCCATGCGGTACTCAGCGGTTCTGCTGAGTTAAATTCTTCCAGATTCCAGGCAATTGACGTAGCAGCGGAAAGGTTAATTCGCTGTCGCTTGCTTGCTATCATGACGGGGCAACCCAGGTGTAGCAGCCAGCTGCGGCGGCAAGTCTACTGGGCGCATCTACGGAACATAACGTAATTTTTAACAAGCCCGATATGAATTGAATATATATACATATAGCATTGTTATTCAGGCCATCCAAAATATGTCATCCAATAACTTTTTGGAGAAGAAACGACATTTGCTATTTGCTTCATTTGACTATATTCTCATGTTAAATTATTACGTCCAAATCAACTTCGAACCCACCGCTCCTCCAAACACATTCATTGACAGCCCAGTTTTTTTTTCAGAATATTATTTATATGTATATTTATGTGTTATGTAGGCTACGCAATATTTAGATTCACATCGATAGACATGGAATTACCGAAGGAACTGAATACTGTTTGCGTTTTTTTTCTATCTATATGTAAACATTCCGAAATATCCGGGGGATGATGTTTATTCTCCATGTGACATGTTAATTTCTTTAGTTCATCTTTAGTTCTCCATTTCCTCCTCGCTCGCTAGCCGTGTGTGCACTCCATCAGCGAAGCCAAAAAAGTTTTTTCCAGTTTTCGATAGCCTGGTCGCACGCGAAGACCTTGCCTGCATCGAAATTAACTGGAGACGAGAAACTGGTCCTAGCGCCGGCCTATTCGACAAGAAAACAAAGCTCAACTTCAAAACAGCTGCATAAAGTATATTTCAGTAGTGTAGCTTAGCAGCGTAATTTTTTTACTCTTCTCTTGAATGTTCAGCTAGGTCTTTATTTTTCTTGGTCGTATCAATCGCATGTCATCAAAAACGCCAATAGCCGAACTCAGGTGTCTATGATGATGCATTACAACTCATAGACATTAATTTTCTGGAAAATTCTCCACCCTTGTAATACAAAGAAATAACTTTATATTGAAATTACTGCTCTGTTTCCAGTTATTGCAAAACGTGTTCCTGCCGAAGCGGCGGTATTGTTTGTTCTTGTTAAAAAATCACTGTTTCAGTAAGTATCCTTGAGAAGTTATTCCGGTCATCGTAATGTCAAGGAGCTGATAATGTTGCATTTATTAACTATTCATAATAAATATTCTTTCAAGGTCAACATTATTTCAACAGGCCCACAATATTAAACCACCTTTCATTGTAGGCTAGTTTGTATTGTATTTTGAAATACCAGGCAGTCCGATTAATATTTTTAAAAAGCAGCAAAGCAACCGCAAGATATAATACAATGTCTCTGAACAGTTTCCATTACTTATCTCTGCCAACAGCAATTCCAGTTCATTCTGTACACCTACACACACACACACACACACAAATATGTTTACTAAGTACATTTTCATTAATGCTGTAAACGCTTAGTTGCGGTATGTAACTGTGTGTAAATGGCGAAAATCGATTAATGTCAACTTAGCGAAAACCATTAATCCTCGTCTTTTTTCGCACACCTGTGATTGGGGAATTGATTGGTAAAGAATTACTTTCCTTTCGGTAATTCAAGAGCAACACGAAAACATCATTGGTTATCCAATATCTCGTTTTGAAAACATCTCGATTTAAGGAGATCTGTTCTAAATGTCAAGTAGGCTTTTGTTTGGCTTCTGCCGGGTCGGCGCTAGGACCCTGTGAGCGCTCGGGGAGGGGATGCGCGCAGAGCGCCCAGTAACCGGAGTTGAGTGTGACAGAGTGGCAGGCAGAAACCGCTAGATGTTAGGAATTACGGGCGACCCGGACTCGCACCTCCGTTATTCACACACGCAGTTACTCCCAGGATTTATTTTAAATAAGCACCGGGATCCAGCTACTGGGCACGGCGGGCTAGGAACGCGCAAGCTTGTTGCATCTTACGAGGAAAAGGCAGCGTCTTGTCAAATCCCGGTGTTAAGAAATGAACGTGTACATTTTGTAGGCGTGCGCTCTTTCAATTAATTGCATTTTTTGGGCTCCAGTGAAAAGCCGAGAAATTACTACAAAGAAGTAAATATCCGTTTATGTTGCTTGGCTTTGCTGTGTTTTTTCTATTTTTGGCGATACCGGTGTCGATTTATTAGACACTTGAAGAAAAAAATTTGCGCACGTTTAGAAATGACAGAAAAAGCCTTAATTTGAAGGAAGCATTTTCCATCCAGTTTTTATATTAAACCGTTAAATTGCTTCAACTGAAACTTAAAACGGACCACATTCTTTTAATATGACTTAAGTGTTTTTCAAGAATTTAGGGCCAGTCATTCACTTGGGATATTCTTCGCATTACCAACATTTCACTTTGACTACTATCCGACTTTTAAAACCCATGGAATAAGAGCTTTGCAGGACACATCGTCTTTTGCCATTGTTATTTTCCAGAACAATTTAAAGTCCAGCTTGAACTTAGCAGACCATCGTTCACGTTGCGGCTCCTTTCCGCCCAGGAGAGCCTCGCGCCGTAGGTATGGGCTGACCGGAGCACGGCGGAGGTGAGATTAACGGGGACGATGCGGTTGCCCGTCGTTGGCGTCCCGTTTTGGGGTCGCGTCTTGCTGCTGCTGGTCTGTTGGACCGCCTTCGAGGCAAAGCTCGCCCATGCCTGCCCCAGGCTCATCATTAGCGGCTGCAGCTGTACGGACGAGCGATCGAAGGCTCACGGAACGCCGGCTGTGCGCAAACGGGTGAGCTGTAGTGGCGAGGAACTGTCCGAAACTCCGCAAGTCAGCCTCCTCCCGGATCGCACCGTTACTTTGTAAGTGAGCTGATTTCACTTTCAAGATTACTTTATTCATAGAATTTGGAATTCTATATGAGATTAACATTGTTAAGCGTGTTTTTGCGCATTATTTGCATTATTACATCATTGCTGTTTCGGCGGTAACTTCGCGGAACTTGAAAATAAAAGTATAAGTACTGAACGCTTAAAAGCTTTGAGGTGTATTGCTAAGTCAAAAAGTATGACTTACAGTGCAATACTTAACAGTGATAAATACTGTCAGCCCCCCTCAAGGTCAGGCCAAAGGGATGATTCCATGTTTCTCTTCATCCTTTCTTTAAAAAGGGAGGAAGGGGGGGGGGGGGGGGGGGGGGGGGGTGGGTTGTCATTGAAAATGTGCTGAGCTAGACGAACACGCACACACTCACATAAAAGATTAAATGCACACTGATATGAGAGCGATTTTAAGGGGGAGGTAGTGGGGAGGCCTTATTAGGAGTGAATTTGGGCTTCCCTTACAGGGTAACTGAGTGCAGCTGCATTGGTCATGGTAGAATATAGGCATGCTGTAATGGAGTTCCACGGTAATTTCCCTAAATTACTGCTTTACAGGTTAAAAAACAAGGACTTACTCTGAAATCCTGCTAGGTGTTTTGAGAAGTGCATAGAAAGAAGATAAATTTTGATGTTGAGCTGAAACTCATCATGGTCTGGAGAACGGGATTAGTATTGTGATTGACACAGTCAATATCATTCAGTGATCAGCTTTGCCCTTTGCAGTGGTCAAGACCTTCGAACTGAAGAGCGTAGTGTTCTGTATCTCGGAGAGCATCTCCTCAGCCAGCTTCTTCCTGTTAGATAAGCCAGTCCTTCTATCTCCCAAGTATATATTGGTTTCCTCTTATTGCAACACAATGGTTTCCAGGTCATTCAAAATAAATGACTAGTATCACACTTGTGTAAATGTATTTGGACAGTATAGTGAGCTGTGATCTTCTGAAATAGACTGGGCTATGGGCTAGACTGGGATTAGAATTTGGCCATGGACTTTGTGGTCCGTCACAGCCGCTGCACTGTAAGTTTTGGCATGGGGTGTGTGTGTGTGGGGGGAGGTCCTATGATAACTGTTGCTGAGCGATACCTTCTGGCACCTGGGGACGGGGCACATAAAATTGTGCTCGCCCACATGCCAGGAAAATGCCCACGGATGCCAGGTGGCCAACGCAGCCCTGAAAACTAACCAGGTTACCTGGCACATGACTGGTGCCCTTTCATTAATGCCACAGGAGCCTCGGTGTCTCCGGCCCCAGTTTCACCAAACTGGTGGCGCCTCACAGTGGACCCTCGTGAGGAGATCCCGTCACCCGCTCTGTCACATTTCTGTCGCTATAAATCCTGAGTCTGACTGGAGGAAACACGCAGGCTCTACCCCCCCCCCCCCCCCCCCCCCCCCCCCCCCCCCCCCCACCCCCCAGCTCCCGCCGCCCTCCCGCCCACTCGTCTCCAGCTGACTTGGCCCCGCTAAACCAGGATAAACAGAAACACATTTCTGCTTCTTTTTTATGCGCCATCTCTCGCTTTAATGGCGGCTTGGCTTCCCTCCCTTTTAATGCCATAACGTCCCAGCGATCTCAGCAGACGGCTCACAATCGCCTTCTGTTCCCCGGGCTGCCACAGAGGCGAGCGCCGTCATCGTAAACGCGTCCTCCTACAGCGCTTTCGCTTTCTTACTCTGCTGATGCTCGCACGAGGAAATCCGAGCTGTTCTGATGGGGACCGTTTGCCCTCCATTTCCCATTTACAGGCTTTCTAGCTATATTTCAACAAAATCGAAGGGTTAAAAAATGAAGGAATAGGACAGAGAGATCACTGCTATTGGTTCTGGGCTCCGGATTCTTGAGCTTTGATTGGTTATTCCTAATGTAAACATTACAAACTCCCACGATATGCTTCACCAAATAGTCAGGCTTGTTTTAGCTCATGTTCATTTTAACAGTAATAAAAAATATAATAAAAGCAATAATGTTACTTTTTGACTTATATACACTAATACACTACGGGAAACTCTAACCTTAGCTCTCGTCAAACTGACCACGGTTACCGCTCGTCCACTTCCATGCTCCCACAATGCTCCTCTTCGGCAGGCCCCATATGGATGCAGTAAGGCCCTCGTGGAGCCCAAAATGCATGCGAAGGATGAACAGATAGTGGATTTATGGCCGAACGAGCTGGAGTTGGCCAGTGGGCCATATACACCGGGCTCTGTTTCCCCTTCTTAAAGGCCAGATAAACATGTGTGGAACACATTTATGAAAATAAGAGATGAAAAGAAGGAGAGAAAAAGAGAAAGAGAAAACAAGAATTAGGATGCTAGAGCTGCAAGTGTTTGCAGTTAATTGTACAGCCCAGTACCTATTAATCCAGTTTAATTGCTTTCCTGCATATATTTAAAATGAAGCTGTGAAGTTAGGTCAGGAAGCACCACACCAGGAGCAGGAAAAGCTGTCTGTGTTTTATGCAAAGAGAACCACAGTCTTTAAGTATCCCCATAGGGTTCCATGAAAACAAAGATGGCAGCTGGTAGCTGGGTCATTGGGTGTTTTTTTCTTAGCTCCCAGCTTCTGGTTCTCCGCCTTGTATATGGAGGTAGCACCCGTAGCTCTCGGGATGCACTTGTGCCATAAGCTACTCCCCTCCCAATTTGCACAGTCCTATCTCACCACCTCTTGTCTTTATCTGGATTTATGGAATGTCATCTTGGTGCACTGGTGATCTTGGTAGGAGGCTAGGGGCCTAACTGGGTAGGGTTATGGCCATGTGTTTGTAGCGGCTTAGCATCTGTGAGCCTGTGGGGCAGGAGACTTAGGAGGCTAGGGTCCTCTTTGCTAAGGGGGCTAGGGTCCTTGGGGCTGGAGATTTAGGGGACTAGGGACTAGCGTCCATAAACCTAGAGGTTTAGGGGCCTACGTGTTTGGGGTCATGAGCCTAGAGGCTTGGGGAGCTGTGGTGCATAAGCAGTCTTAGGGACCTAGGGGCTAAGGTTCATAGATCTAGACGTTTAGGGGCTAGGGTCCATGGGGCTGGAGGCTCAGAGGCTTAGGGACTAGCATCCGTAAACCTATAGGTTTAGGGGCCTAGGAGCTAGGATTCATGGGCCTAGATGCTTAAGGGCTTAGGGATCTAGGATCCATAGGTCCAGAGGCTTAGTGGGCTAGGGTCCATTACCCTAGAGGCTTAGGGTGTTATGGTCCATAGACCTAGAGATTTAGGGGTCTAGGGGCTAGGATTCATAGATTCGTAGAGTCTTAGGAGCGTAGGGGGCTAGGGTCCATTACCCTAGAGGCTTAGGGTGTTATGGTCCATAGACCTAGAGATTTGGGGGTCTAGGGGCTAGGATTCATGAGCGTAGAGTCTTAGGAGCGTAGGGGGCTAGGGTCCATTACCCTAGAGGCTTAGGGTGTTATGGTCCATAGACCTAGAGATTTAGGGGTCTAGGGGCTAGGATTCATGAGCGTAGAGTCTTAGGAGCGTAGGGGGCTAGGGTCCAAAGATCTAGAGGCTTAGGGCATTATAGGGTCTATGGGCCTAGAAGCATCGGGGGCTGTCCACCCATATAATGCACAACAGCTGGCGCCCATAACATTCCAGCTGAGACCTTTTAGCCCATGGGAAATACTGGTGGGGGTTTGTCCATTAATAGCTATAGTCGATTGTTTGTTGTTTCTATAGAGTATGGAGGGACGATGCCAAAACCATGCGTCTCCATGGTGAACCCGCCTCAGCAGTGACGTCGAATGTCATTGAGTTATATACCGTAGGTGGGTCTGACCGTACGGCGAAACCATTTGGATCATTTTCCGAAAAGCCATCAATCACTCAGGGGTCTCTCGCACGTCCACAGCCTTTAGTGCCCTTAATACCTGGCTTAGTGTTGGGAGGCCAGACGGTCCCTGCTGTCTGTGGCCTTCCATTCGCCATCCTGGCACTTCCCCTCGTTCC